GTTTGGAATAGCAGTGGGGGGGTGGAACTTCATGCAGATACGGGGTGGTTTTGATAAGTGGTTCCAGATGCTTTTGCCCATGCTTAAGAGATGCCAAGTTTTTTGGAAGATGTTCGCAGCCAAAACGCATTCTTCCGTACGTCGCATTTTTGTGTAATTTCGCATGTGGTGTGGCATTATGCCCGGGATGATGCACGTCTTTTTATTTTTACCGTAGCTGTTTTGATATTGAAGTAAATGCATATTTTAGAAACATCCCTACTTTTACAATCCTGTGGAATAGGCCGTAGGTTTAGGCAATTGTCTGTAGCAGAGGTACTGTAAGCAGATATCCTGGTTATCTGGCCGGCGGTAGTAACACTCGCGGTGCTTACCGCAACTGTTGCTGGATTTTGCCCTGTTCCAGGCGCGCTTAATTAGGTACAGGCACGGTAAGACGGTGGGACTGTGTTTGTTACTAGACACGACCATGATAGTCCGATCTTTATGTGAATGCAATGATTGTGTGTGTGTAATTAAAATGAACTTCGAACTTGAAGCACAGTATCTTTACACGCCCTGGGAGCAGTAATGGATTTAGCTCTTTTTATGTTTTATGCTTGTGACGCGCCCTCATTGTATTAACCGTTGCCTAATTATAATGTCTGCACAGTAGGTCTGGCGTTGACGCTTGGGATTTTGTTGAAATATATAAAACTTCACGGAGGATTGTCACCTATGGCTTCTTGTTTGGATGTTGTTAACGCTCGTGAACCCACCTGTAGTGGTAAACTATAAGTGAGGCCACAGCAAGTAATTTTTATGGATGACATCAGCGCGCATTGATTTTCGCCTGATTTTGAAAAAAAACAAGAAATTTTATTGCCTTTTGACAGTGGTCAACATGCTGATAATGGGCAAAATGGCATGCCTTGCCATGCTCGAACGTGTATGGCAGATAAACATGAAGAGAGGAGACAGAACAAGGCTCTGATTTATTTGTTTTGACTTTTACTTTGATGCAGTGATGTATTTCATTCCTTTCATACGTTCCCACTGAATCAAAACCATTTGTACAATGAAAAACATTCTTTTTTCACAGTTGTTTCAGCGTAAAGCGTTGTCGGAACGGGACACCCCCCCCCCTTTTGCAGGCCCTCTCGAGTGGGGTCGCGTTGCGTGGCGGCAGAGTGCTCGGCTCGGAACCAAGAGGTCCCAGGTTCGAGCCCTGACATGCCACCGATCTTGTGCCCTTGGGAAAGACACTTTACACGACTTTCCTCACTTCGCTCAGTTAAAAATGAGTATTGTATTGTCCCCTGTGTTGGTGGCGGCATTAATATAAGTTGAAAAACAACTTGAGCCGCCCGGATCTTGAGGTACCTCCGACTTACATATTACTACTTACCTACGTCCGAAATTTCATTCATAGATTCTTTAGTTTTCGTGCCACCTCCAAACCTACATCCAAAACTAGAAAAGTAACACTTGCAAAGTAAATGCATAATGTTTACCTTCGCATATGGTCTTCTCTGTTAATACTTACTCAAACTCATTCATATGAATAGTGGCAGAAGTCTAAATCCCTCCTGCTATAAAAACTGTAACTTGATGTAACCCAACACTAGTTGCCATGGTGATAGACGTCTAATTCGGGTCATTGATATTATTTGTTCGGGGAACTATATGTTTTCCTTTGGTAAACTTAACCAACTGCACCAAGAACATACTTTACCTTCTAGGCTAGATTGAACTGTTATGATCTGTTCAAGAGCAGCCTTTCCTGTAAGGACTCCAATAACGCTGTTTTTTAATTGTGCTGATCTCCAACCACGTTGTATATGTAGTATTGTTAATGACGTTGATAATATTGAACTTTGTATATACATGTATAAATATATATACTTTTTATTGATTTTACGGTACTTGATGATTGTCAACTTCGGCGCAATTCAGCTATTGCTGCAAGGCCGATTTGTTATTTGTTTATCAATAAACCATTTACTACTACTACTAGGCATTTAGTGCGTACCGTTTTAAGCAATCGCACCGACGCCACCGCCTGGTTCAGCGGTGTAGTAGTAGCCCGAAGTACCGTAGAAGATGGTGTCCCCCACGGGAGGTTGGTACACTCCGACGATGCTGCACGGCTCGGTGTAACACGTTTGGTTCAGCCCCAACAGCTGTCTAACCAACGCTCGGCACTGTTGGTAAGGATTTCCCGTACTTAAAATAGAAAATCGTCAGAACAGATTCCAATTCATCTGGACATCATAATTATAACAATTGAGATAAGCTGTAAGTTGCAAAATTAAAGAAAAGGTATCATATAGTATACAGCATCAAATTGCGTTCATCATTAAATGCACATTAAATACACAGAAATTCTGACAGAACTTACCCTTGATTTTTGCCACTTTATTGCCCCAAGGTCAACAGACGTTTCGTAACCCTGTAGGTCACAGGGATTGTCGATATCGGCTACAAAAGAAAGAAAAGTTTTAGTTTAAAAAAGACAACGCGTGCGGTTATAGAGATTACTGAAAAATTTCAAACGATATCAAAGCATGTCATTTCATATTGTAAGAAACAATTGCTTATCAAAAACATTTGCAACATACGAACAGGTATTTCAACATCCATTGGCTCCTCTTGTGAGGCGTCGCCAAAAAGGTTTGTTGAGGCCCAAATTTAGTCTTGGCCTTTGTCTTCCTAAGACGTACCTACATACCAAATATCATCATAATTTATAAAGGCCTTCTTAAGTTATGCTGACTCAAATATGCGAAAACAGGTAGACAGGCCAAAAACAATACCTCCATTTTTCATGAAGTAAGAGTAGAGCTAACACCCCCTACCCATTATAGTAGTATAGCCCATCATGCATATTCAGAAGCAAGCTACCGAGTGACGCTAAGATCTGAGATTCCACCCCTTTGCCATCTGGACTGCATTGAGCATACATACGCTTTGTACCTAAACCATACGTAGAATAAAACCATGAAAATGCAATCAATCTGTGGTATCCTGACTGCACAATACATCAGAAGTAACAACAGTTTCCCACTGTACCGTTCTTGTCTGATGCCTGGTTGTACAGATGTCGGTGCACCTGCAGTCAGAACTGATTCAGGCCGAACTTCAGGAAGCTGTTGGTGTAGAGGTCGTACCGCCTCCCCGCGATGTACAGCGGGAAGAGATTGGCGAAGATCTGTCCTTCCGGGAGGAAGGTGATCTGAGTGGACGCCCCTCCCATGTCCAGGGCACCGTACGTCGTCGTGTCCCTGTAACCAATCAGGGTATTGGCACTCACGTGACTGTGGCATAGGTACTGTCCGCCATGATGGACGGTTAATGCCAGCAAAAATTAAATTCGTACTAAATTTACTGGGCTATAAGTTTATGTCTTTCTTGTTACAGTCAAATATGCTCTCAGCAGCTGCCAGCCAATCAGGATGTTGGGACTCACGTGACCGTGAGGAATGTACTTTCCGCCATGATGGACGGTTAAAGCCAGCAAAAATCAAAGTCGTACTAATTTCACTACACTCCAAGTTCTCTTGTTCCTTTTTCACTTCTAACCTTTCAGAGTAGATGAATTGAAGACTGTAGTGGTTGATTGGCCAACTGCTTCTCTCACTCTACTCCTATCATTATAATGAATTGTGAGTTGTTTTATTGCAAAGTCATCTTCGAGGGCTAATTGCAATATAAAAACAGGCCATTAATACACAAAGAACTACTGGGCCATGGGTTTGACTCTTTTTTTAAGACAAAGGAAGACAAAAGATCCCACTTTTTCTGTAATTTGTGGGTCAGTAATTATATATTGGTCAGTGTCCAAAACGTAACGCATCAAAGCAGTCCGCATTCCTAATCTTACCTGTTTGAGTCGAAGACGCCCCTCAGGAAATTGACTGAGATCCAACCGAAAACTCCTTCCTCCTCCCCTGAGATGACCTTGGCCCAGCCCCGCTTGAACTTGAATGGGTTGAGGGTTGAGTCCAAGAAGAGGTCGTCGATTTGGTCAAAGATGGTGTCCATACCACATCAGCTGGCTTCAGCAACCGCATACCTGTTTCAACAAGAAATTAAAGATTTAAAACCTCCGCGGAAAAATAAAGATTTTGGGTTTATGAATATTACCTTTGACAAGATTATGTTTTCGGCTATGCAATGTTGGAGTGGCTGTGGTGTGAGTCTATACGTAGGTCAATAGCAAAATCGAGAAGCTGTGGATGGATCTTCATGATGTTTAGTAGGTGAGTAGCGGGTATGAAAATGAAGGTCAAGTTCGAAAATGGTTCACCTGTCGTTTCTCTACGAAGCTGCAGTGGGCTGTGTATGTATCTTTCTATTTCGTTTGGTCATATACATTTCTATTATATAAAGAATTCAGTACGTTTATTCACACATTAAATTTCATGAAGTTGAAATGTCTTCCATGATAAAAATGACGTAACCTACCTGCAGTGGCTTTTAAGTAAACCGGCGTGCTGCTCTGCAGTTCCTTTGGCACCACCGCGGCGGCGCTGTATAGCAGTAAGATGAGTGAAGGTTTCACCAACACCGGGTTGGACACAAACGAGCTGATACCTGGCCGCACCTGCAGTTCCATAGAAAGTCGCAATAAGGCACTATTTTACCGTTTTACAACAATAAACTCTGTCATTCACCTGAAGACAAAACGGAGTGAATTACGTTGTTGGTGTACTAAAAAGTTAACAAAAACACACCTGTAATTCCGACAAAGGTTGCAAGGGGGCAAAAGTAATAGAGTGTACTAGTACTACTTATCCCCGGGCCCCGTTCCCATAACATGAGCTACTAAAATTGGAACTTCCTCTGTAGTTCCGTAGAAAGCCGCAATGAGGCATTATTTTACTATTTGACAACAAGCACAAAAATAGACCCTGCCATGCATTACGTTATGCAAATCTTCTGATTACTTTAGAAGTATACAACATTTTAATGAATGAATGAAGACCTTTATTGTACGCAAATACCCACTGGGTTTAGTACAGGTCACAGGAAAGGCGTCACAGTTTGCAATGAATATATACAATGTACAAGCTAGTGCTAATTCTATGTACTATGGACATATAGTCTAATAATTACGATAATTTGGCTTCTTCTCGCTTAAACTATTTACCTTGCTGGTTCCTGACAGCTTGAGTTCTGTTAAATCTGCCGTCTTTGTCGGGAGTCGGCTCTGGTCCCATCTGTAGACGTGAAGTTTAGTCGAGGAACTGCCCGCATCGAAGATGACTCCATATCGATAGTTACGAGAGTCACGCCTGACTCTTGCCGAAGACACGACGACAACGCCACCGAGAAAAGCCGAAAGGACGAAGCAGAGACGAAGCTCGGGCAACATGGTTTTCTTTTCCAGATAGAAAAACGCTGAAGAAACAAAAGTTGTATGCGTTTGTGATTAAAGCATCGGTCACAACCCGCCGTACGTGCTTTTTGTCCGTACGTTTTTTGGGAGGCTACGTCTGCTACGCTTTTTGTCTGAAAATGTGGGGAAGGAGTGGCGTCGACGCACGTCACACGCACGTCACTCACACGGTTGCGCAAGGTGAAAGAGTGTGGTCTGCACGCCACGTCTGGCCGTGAGCGGTTGCGTGCATCGTACGTTGCGCAAGTAGCAAGTGAGTTGTACGTGCTCACAACGTACGATCTCTGTGCGTGTGCGATTGCAACTTTACCGTAACTAAGGAGGTCATACTCACACGTGCTTCCTCCGTTCGGTACATACGGGGCACGCGCGTCGCTCGTACTCGCACGCACGGGTGGTGAATCCGCAGACCGCACGTAGAAAAAGTTTCAAATACACTAAAAGTTCTACGGCGTGTCTGCGTGCTCCCAAATCCGTAGGATTCCGTATGGAGGCGGCACTCACCACGCACGGGTGTCCTACGTTTGCCCACGTTTTTTTGCACGTAGACAGCACGCAGAAGCACGTACGGCGGGTTGTGACCGTGGATTTGCTTAGCTACATTCCAGTGAATCATACACAAATTCCCCACGTCCTCTAGTTGGCTTTCTCCAAAAAGTGGAAGCCTACATGGCAGAGAACTATGATCAAATTTAAAGGACAACTTCACGAAGTTTAGGTGCAGGACGTCTGGGTTTAAGAACAGCGTTTTACCTTTAATTGTCGAGTTGTTAAACCGGTCTTGGGTGAATTTTAATGTGTCTAACGCCACAATTCTGCAATGGTATATGAACATAAAACTTTGCCTGTTCTTGACTGTATGTAGCTTTATACACATATATCTTCTGTATTTCTGTACCTTTATATACACGGTATATTAAGTGATCACATAGGAAAGAAAGCAAGAAAAACTTTCGTTCTCTTGTAAGGACTGTCCTTAGAAAACTGAACCGTTTTTGTACTGCCGAGAAGCACAAATGATCGTTTCTTAGAAGGCAGTTCTCGATAGCACAAAAGCTGCTTAATATCTCTTCGGCAATAGCGAAATGCAAAACAATCTAAATAATAACTAGAAAGGCCGACATTTGCTTGGGAGCAAATACAGCATATTTCAGTCCATCTCCCTCCCACACAAAAGTGGACGGTACATGTACTTACCCCAGTGCAAAACTGGAAGATTCTCAAATAAATGAATTATATTATAGCTATGTGATTGATAACAAAGATGCAAGAACAAGCACTTATAATAATGATGAAATGTAATAATAATGTACCACATATGAGAAGTCAGACAAATCTTCGTGATACTAGTAGTCTGAACTTTCTATGCAACAATTTCTTTTGCTATGTATTTAGGCGACTAGCATCTGTATAGCCGGCACAGGTACATGTATATCGACGTAACACAACATCTTCGCAGGCACGCGAACAACATCAACTGGTTACTGGTATATTGCACAGAACGACCTAATCTTTATACCACCTAATCTTTACATAATACACAAGCGTTGTCTCGAGCTATCTAGTGTAGACTACCCAACGTACTATACTTTGTTGAAAGGTAGATTGGTGGCCAAATAACTAGGGTTTGCACAGCATAAATATATGACACGGCTTTTATTATACCATGGAGGTAGAAAATCACTTCATGATGATACACATACATACGAGCTGGATAACGCAACAACGATAATAAAAACGAAGCACATACCTTTGCTATATTTGTACGTGAACACCGGTCAATTCACCTTCACTGTACCGTGCCTGACTTGATCATGTAAGTACCTGATTAACTCGTGACGTCATGCTTGCTCTATCCAATCAGACACCACGACATATATTATGCTAATCGGCCATCCACCCGTATTTCCTGAAGAATGTACTAGCAATCTAATCCAATTTCTACCTGTTATTGGTCTGTTTAGGACCTACCGATACCATGTCGACAAACTTCCCCAGAAACGTACACCAATTTCCAATCACCCTGGGCGGCCAACCTGTGCCATCGGTCGGATCGGCGAAGGGACTTGGTTTCATCCTGGATAGAAGCCTTTCATTCAGCGAGCAAGTCATCGCCATGACAAGCAAGGCATCGCGGAGACTGCACTACCTGCGTCTGCTCACAAAGCAAGGCACTAGTGTCACGGATCTAGTGCAAATCTACCTGGCACTAGTAAGACCTGTCCTCGAATATTGTCATGTGCTGTTGGTAGGGTGCGGCAAGGAGCAAGAAATGCATCATTTCCCTGGGAGGACGTCGGAGCGTACCCGATCTGCCCACACTGAAGACGAGGAGGGAGGAGGCAGCAGTGCACCTGTTTGAGCGAATGCTGCGAGATGACCACCCCCTGAACGACTTGGTTCCGCCCACTAGGTCTGCAGCAACTGGACTGTCTCTGAGAAACGCTGAGAGGATCATTCTGCCTCCAGCTCGTACAAAGAGACTGCGCAGTTCCTTCTTGCACTGACCACTGTGCTATCCGGTTGTACAACAACAGACCAACACTTGATACACAGTAATTACTTTGTATATATGTAATGCTAAGTGTGTTCGCTTTGCTTTTATGGATCGATTTAGGTTGTAATTGAGATGCTGTTTTTTTTAAAAGATATTCTGCGTGTAACGTTACTTGTAATGTAAAATTTTGTAATGTGTACATTGATTCATGAATTATGTAACGAGGACGTAATTCGGGCAATTTTTGCCCGCGAGCTCCTTTGGACTTTTAATAAATTTGCGTTTTTAATTGATTCGATGCATATATGCTGTAAGTCTATCAACAACCAAGCTTTATTTCGCTACACACAATCCTACCGGCGCGGATGGAAAGAGACGTGTTTAAGATGTTTACTTCAATCGCCAAGAAGGCTATGTTTTTAATAGCGTTTGTTTGTATGTGTGTGTGGTTTAGCACGATAACTCGAGAAGCTGTATGGATGGATTGTAATGAGAAATTGGTAGGTGGCTGTGTCTTGATGGACCTCCAAATGATTAGATTTAAATTCACGAGTTGCGCATTCCCAGGATCCTTTGCGCACAGGGTGGGGAAAGGTCGCGGTAAACCACGTGACTCATCCTCGGCTCTGGTCGGAAGAAGGTGCCCTAAGCTATCTGGCCGATAGTAGGCTGGGAGCATTCAATTTCAAAAGTCTGTCATTTTGTCACATTTTCACGTAGTATGTTGAATCAACCCTATCCTTTCCCATACAGATAGTCATGGAGCAAAAATTCGATGCCGCTTTGCCGTACGAACGCCATGAAAAACTACGTGCCTCCCGCCGCCGGCAGTGGTGTCAGCCATTTTTGAAATTTCCGAGCGCTCGCGAAAACTTCCGACTTCTTCCGACCAGAGCCGAGGATGAGTCACGTGGTTTACCGCGACATTTCCCCACCCTTTGCGCAAAGGATCCTGGGAATGTGCAACTCGTGAATGGGCTCCCTGGTGGTTTGTTCGGGTACTGCAGTCGAACTTCCGATTTTTATATTTTGTGACCTGAACATGCTAGGGTCATGAATTTTAGGTCGTAGATAGTTCTTATGCTCGTTTGGCCCCATAGGAGCTTGTTTTTTTTAAGTTTACTTGGCACAAAAATGGAAATCAGGAAGATGACAGTATACTGCCCAAACATCAATTGCTCCAATTCAATTCTTTCATTAACATACAAGACATAACAGACAAACATGGCATACAATGTTGCATGAATGGCGTCGATATTTACATACATAGTGTTACAATATCATGATATTTACAAAAACTATAAAACAGTGCAGTGTACAACCCAGATATCTACAAGCTCCATTATATTGTGCCAGACTCTATCTGTGCAGTTTGGTTATAGAGTCTGATTGACTGGTGAAGGAAAGAGTTCTGTAGTCGTTTCGATCTGGCGGGGGGGGCGTGTTTTCGTTCTTGAGTGAACGACCGGTAGCTGTAGATCTGGAGAGAGGGACAAGGTCATGTAGGGGGTGATCTTCTCGTAGCATCTGTGTGAAGAGTTTGACGGCAGCATCCTCACGCCTTGACTTGAGGGGTAGGTAGTTCAGGCACATCACGCCTGCCCCCTCGGCTGATGATGCCGCAAAGTCCGGTTGTCATGGGTACTAGGGCAGGAGACTTGCAATAAACTGACAGCTGCAGTACCGTAACAAGCCGCTAGGGGGTCCAAAATCTAATCGTTTTGAGGTCTCATCAAGACCTACCCACCTACCAAGTATCAAGACAATCCATTTAAGCCTTCTCAAGTTATCGTGTCCCGTGAAGGAAGGAAGGAACTTTTGAAGGCCACATACACGAACGCCTCTGAAAACATAACCTTCTTGGCGAAGGTAATAACGTTAATTAGGTCGATCCGTGTAGGAAAGAAATCTGATACGTCAACTGCCCGTCCTGTGCTTGTTCGACTTAAGTAATATAACCAACCTAAAGTTAGCCTTCCATTCGGCCTTCGATTCGCCAGCCTTCGATTAAGCCTTCGATTCGAAACTTTTTTAATAAACTGCCTTGAAGTTCCAGAAAAGCTGCTAGGTGCCCCAAACTAGTGTCACTTCTTTCCTAGCTCAAGAGCTATGTAGGGGATCCAAAATCTAATCATTTCTTGTTCTTATGAAGAACTACCTACCTACCAAGTTTAATCCCAATCCATTCACTGATTCTCGAGTTATCATGCTAAATAAACCACACACACACACGCACAAACGCTACTGAAAACAAAAACCTTCTTGCCGAAGTTAATGATTGAAACCTGTCGACCTTGACCTAGGCAGCTATGCCCCTCGCGCCATCTTGGGTCTCGCAACGCAGTTCTGATATACCAGAGAAGAGTTCAAGATGGCAGAGAAGACGGCAAGTTTCTTGGACGATGATGACTTCACACATGTCGTCAAGGGCATCAGATATCCACCTGACGTCACCAAGGACAATCTGGAGGCCATGGCGAACTTTGGCCTCCGAGATGACGACATAGTCATAGTGGCGTTCCCTAAAGCAGGTGTGTGATTCATGCCCGCGTACACACACACACACTCAGAGAGAGAGAGAGATACACACACACACACACACAAACACACTACTCACACACACAGACACACACACACTCTCTCTCTCTCTCTCTCTCTCTCTCTCTCTCACACACACACACACACACACACACACACACACACACACACACACACACACACACACACACACAACATTCCCACACAACATTTAAAAAGTACAGACGAAATATCACCCATAACGACACGTTCTGTAGTGTTAGACACGATATACGGTTCTGCAGTTAGCTTACATCAAGCTTGATAAAATATACTTGGTTCTGCCGATGTTTTCTATTCGCTGTGATAACCCCGTTATACGGCGATCGAGCCAGGTTGTTTGAATACAGCGCTTGACAAATAAATAAACAGCGAACCTACCCTGATGCCCATTTACCTTTATATTGATTAAACAGATGACCTGTATTGTACAGCCATGCCCTATCGGGCTAAGTACAGGTAAACAGATGCAAAGGTATATACATGTTTGTAATACAAACAGATTATTAACTACCGATTCAATCGATAGAGTCGACAGTAGCTCAACTGACTATAGAAACATCGTTACGGTGGTTAGAATCCTGTATACGGCGTATAGAACTATTGCAGAGGTATCGCCAAGTACGGTAAGAGCCTCATGACACTACATATTAGTTTAAACAGAGTTATATTTTCATCAAACATTCAGTAGCCTCCACCAGGCCTTCCTTTGTGTCTAGTAGCCGAGCAAAACTAGGGAGAGTAATTGGCGAGGTGCGTGAGTTGTAGTAACGATAGCATTTCTCATTGGAAGTGAATTCAAAGGTAGAAAAACTCCCGTTTCAAGTATACTCCCGTTTGGTTAAATTTTACAATTTTTGTCAGGCAGTGCTGAAACGTTTAAGATGGCTGAGGCGACTGCAAGTTTCATGGACGATGATGACTACACCCATGCCGTCAAGGGCATCAGATATGCACCTAACGTAAAAAATAACAATCTGGAGGCCATGACAAACGTTGAACTGTGGGATGACGACATAGTCATAGTGGCGTTTCCCAAAGCAGGTGTGTGTTTCATACACACACACGCGCGCGCGCCCGCGCGCGCACACACACACACACACACACACACACACACACACACACACACACACAAACATTTCTCAAATATACAGAGAGAGATTTGTATGTGTATGTGTATGTGTGTACGCGTGTTTGTGTGTGCATGTGTGTGTTTGCATTTACGTGTTTGTGCCCCTGCTGAATATAGCGACCAGAGGAGCAAGAATAAGATACACATCAGACTATGTATCATTCCATGATTTACAGGAACTAACTGGGTGCTTGAGATCGTGAACAAGATCCTGTCGGCCTGCGGAAGGACCGACGTCTCTTCTGACGACATGGTGGGAAAACTGGAGTTCAGCTACCCTCACGAGCCACGCCCTCGTCACGTGATGTTACAGACCTGTGCCTCTCCCCGCGTCATCCTGACCCACCTCACCCCACACACCGCCCCGCCCGGCATCTCACAGCCGAAGGATAACGTGAGGGTTCAGATGGAATTTCATCTGTTACAGTTGATGACATAATGACGACTTTATTAAAAAAACGTTATAGCCATACGTCACCAACAGTCTCCGATCATTTCTAAGGCCATGTTGATTTGATTATATGGATGACATCCTCCGGGAGCGCCAAAACTGATGCGAGCGTGCGAATAAAAAAAAGTTTTGCAAAAAAAAAAAGTTCTTTTCATTATGAAATCTACGTGGTCACGAGGGTTGAGCAAATGGAACAGAATATGGTTTGGCGAATAATCTAGTCTTCAAGTTCATTTCTTTACAATTTCGTCTTTTTTCGTTTGATTTTGGCATTCTACGACATTGGTATAGTTTTTATCAATTTTTTTTGTAACTTATGGTATGTTTTTGCTCATTTTGCAACTGTTTTGTACGATTTACAGTATGGTTGAAAACTTTTTTTTTTGGAAACGGCCGAAAATTCATGCGCGCGTGGATGTCATCCATATAATCAAATCAACATGGCCTAATCTTATCTCCAAACAGATCTTTGTGTGGCTGCAGTACACTGTCAAATCGGCAGGACAGTACTTAACAATGGCGTCCGATGGTTACAGGCTGCAAATATAGACTAACCCTTACCCCAGAAAATCTGCTTGGGGATAAGTAGAGAAGATGTAAAGTGCTCTGGTCCATCTGAAGTTGAAATGGCCCGAACTGTACCTGTAATGTCAGCAACGGGTTGAACCTGGTGTTAATTGGTAACAGCCCCCGTCTCGGTCAAATTGATGTATATACCGTTGTGTTTGCATGTGACACCACATTCTGTTTGATTGAACCAAAAGAGTGTTTGAAACCTACAGATGTTAATAGTTACGTATATGTCATAATTACGTAACTAAGGTCAGGCACTGGTGGCTTACTGCAGAGAATATACATATCTACTTTTCAACTTCCAAAATGGCGGACATCCAGAATGGGCGACAATCCCAAATTGTGGCGGCACAACACAGTATTAGCCCTATGGGGATTTCTATAGTTAAGGACCCCAAAGTGACTCACTTCGACTCACTGAAAATCATAGTAGGGTGCACAAGCAAGGTTCAGAATTTTGATATGTTTAATTTCAGGGTATAGTGTACAAAATATGTGAAAATGAGCTTAGATTTGCCGGCTAGTTCTCTTCTCATGCCCTCTTTTATTAGCGCCACTGCGGAGGTCATGGAACTGCAGCCGACGCACAGTACTAGGCGGGACAAGTATCCAAGCGCAAATCTACGCCGACTGAACACGCACCATAATTCAACTTTTACAGTCTCAAAACTGACGTATTCGTCTAACATTTACCACAGGTTCTATCTCGATGCCATGCACAGAACAATCTCTGCACCCTTCTCTAGCATTGTGCAGCACTACTTTGTGCCCGGACTACTTTTGACCATAAATACTGTGTTGTGCGGCCTTAAACGAACTTGACCTTGATTTTTTTTCGTTTATACGATAAAACTAGTCAAGATGTGAAACTTGGCCAAATTTTCATTCCACAAATCCAAACGGTTGCTGAGATTTCGGCAACTTTGAACTTCGGCACCTGTCGTAGGGCTAGGTCCCGTACAAGGCCCTAATGACGGGCCATTTAATGGTCTTCTTTTCAGGTCAAATTTACTATTCCAGTCGACTTTTTTTTGGCTAGCGGGTAACATTGTTGTATCCTCTCACTTTCTGAGTGATTTGTACTTAGTGTAAGCCGTTTTTACGGCAGAAAAAGGGGGGGGGTACGCGTTCTCGGGCCAGTGGGGAACTCCCATAGTAAAGCATAGGGGACGGTCCTAGTGGCCGTTGCCATGGCAACGGAGGTCTGACGGTGAAATAAACTGGCGTATTTTACTTGAACCGACGTCAGTACCAGATATACTAAGCAAATTTCACCGAATTTGGCACGGTTGATTCCCGTGGGGGGTTGTCACGTGGGTGGGAAACCGCCTATCAGTGGCTGCGTATGATGTACGTACAATATAGTTAGCAAGCGCATTTCGCTAATCTCTAAGCAGATCTTTCGGTGGATCTTACTCCCACCGAAAGATCTGCTTTGGGATTAACCTTTCGCTGATAATTTTATGCGTCCTCTCACAGGTGAAGGTGATCGTTGTTATGAGGAACCCTAAGGACACAGTGGTGTCCGACTTCCATTTCGAGCAGAAGCTCCGAGCTCGTTTTGAACGGAAACCGCTTCCTTCATGGGACGAGTTCTTCCAGTTATTCCTGGCCGGCAAGCGTAAGTAGGAAGACATTTCTTCAGACAATATGGCGGAAAATGAGTAGATCACTTTGAGGTCAGCCTCACGCAAATGGCACATGCTCTAGAGCAACTACATGGACAATGGGACAGCAATGCATGTATTTTATTATGACGCATTGTTAAACTGTATCAAAGATGCATTGTAAACCCCTGGCCATCCTCCTGAAAAGGCAGGAGGGTGTACTTTTATACATTTTCAAGGTTAAATAAAGGTTGAAGAAATATAAACAGCTAAATGTAAACATCTATAGCTAATTGACTTGCAGAGTTTGTGGTTGAATTGTTGTACAATCATACAGTACATCTACACTATACGTTTCGAAGGTCACGAACGTTTCATAAAATGTTATAAGTAATCGTAAAATCGTATCCGGCTAAAACTGCCTACTTCTCATACTTATGACATTGTTCTAATTATCAGATACGTTCGGTTGCTACTTTGACCATGTCCTGGGCTGGTGGCAGAGGCGTGATGACCCCCACTTCTTGTTCCTAAAGTACGAAGACATGAAGAAGGTACGTAGATACTAGTAATTATACTAAGCGAAGAATGTAAGTCGATAATGTATTTCCACCTTGTCTCAAGATCTCTTCCCTACCCACGTGCTGTCAACCTACCCTATCCGGAACAGACAGATACACAGACCCACAGTCCGGCCACCCAAAACAATACTTCCGTACCTGTATGTAGATATGTAATGTTGTATGTCCTTCTGTTTGTCCCAGGACTTACCGAACGCCGTCAGGTCAGTGGCGACCTTCCTAAAGGTCAAACTGGATGACGCTTCCATCGAGGCTATCGCGCATGCGTGCACCTTCTCAAACATGAAAGCGGCCCTGGATAAGTCACGTTACGACGACAGGACATTCAACGCTCGCAAAGGTAACGTCAAGGTCACCGAGTTCTGGAGGGCACACTTTGAATTGAATTTGACATCTTATGATTACGTTTGGTAACAGGGCTAGGGGGAGTGGATGTTACTAGTAATTGGTGCACTATTGTCTATATACAAATGTACTTTGACTGTATTGTTATATATTAGACTCTTTTTCTTTCGCCCTAGCTTTTCTAAATGGCTTAGTTTTAATAATTGGTCTTAATCAATTTCGCCAATTGCTAAGAGTAACAAGCATGTATTAGGACTACTTGTGAGTCTTGAAATATGTACACAAACTTAAACTGAGTATTCAAATTATGAAAACAGTATTTAACATTAGTCAATTTAACATTTCATTCAAAGGTAATAAGTGGCTAACACAAGCATGCATGAACATCATAATATATGTTTAAATCAATATTTCAATATTTGTGTCGATTCTAGGTCTTGTCGGCGACTGGAAGACGATGTTTACCGACGAACAAAGCAAGTTGCTCGACTTAATATGCAAGACAAAACTGGAGGGAACCGGACTTAGTTTTGACTTTGAATAGGTCCATTTCTCACTTAAGAGTACTTGTAGATTATTTGACAGTCGCGTTACGGTGTATATTGACGCTAATCGAACACAGTTACATGTAGTTTTGAAGTGACGAAAAGTCGTGCTATGGGACAGCTATAATTATTATATATTTATGCCAAGCATCACCGAAGCTACCTATGTACCAAAAACATGACAATCTGCCAGCTTGTTCTTGAATTATCCTCTCTCCAAATTTTTAAAATAAACTGCCATGAACTTCCATAACAAACTGTTAGGAGCCCCAAACTAATGTCACTTCTTTCCTAGCTCAAGTCAAGAGCTATCTAGGGGGCCCAAAATCTAATCATTTCTTGGTCTCATGAAGAACTACCCACCTACCAAGTTTCATCCCAATCCATTTACTGATTCTCGAGTGATCTTGCTAAACCACACACACACGTACAAACGCTACTGAAAGCAAAACCTTCTTGGCGAAGGTAATGATTGAAACATGTCGACCTTTGACCTAGGCAGCTATGCCCCCTCGCGCCATCTTGGGTCTCGCAACGCAGTTCCAATCTTCGAAAGAGTTCAAGATGGCAGAGACGACTGCAACTTTCATGGACGATGATGACTTCACACATGTCGTCAAGGGCATCAGATATCCACCTTATGTCACCAAGGACAATCTGGAAGCTATGGCGAACTTTCGCCTCCGAGCTGACGACATAGTCATAGTGGCTTTTCCAAAAGCTGGTGTGTGATTCATGCACACACAACCACACAAACTCTCTCTCTCTCTCTCTCTCTCTCTCTCTCTCTCTCTCTCTCTCTCTCTCTCTCTCTCTCTCTCTCTCTCTCTCTCTCTCTCTCTTTGTCTAACTCTTTCCCTCTCTCATCTCTCTGTCTCTCTCTCTCTCCCTCACACACACACACACACACACACACACATTTGCAAAGATACAGTGAGAGACTTGTGTGTGTATATGTGTACGTGTGTTTGTGTTTACGTGCGTGTGCTCCTGCTGAACATAGCGACCATTGGAGCTATAATAGTCATAATCCATGACCCACAGGAACCAACTGGATGCTTGAGATCGTGAACAAGATCCTGTCGGCCTGCGGAAGGACCGACGCCTCGTCTGACGACATGGTGGGAAAACTGGAGTTCAGCTACCCTCACGAGCCACGCCCTCGTCACGTGATGTTACAGACCTGTGCCTCTCCCCGCGTCATCCTGACCCACCTCACCCCGCACACCGCCCCGCCCGGCATCTCACAGCCGAAGGATAACGTGAGGGTTTAACTGATGAAACTTCATTTTTAACAGTTGGTGACAGTATGAAGACTTAAAACGCTACAACCGTGCATAATAATCTCCATTCAGATCTTTGGGTGACTGCAATTGCAATACAGTGTCGCATCGGCAAGACAGTAAATTGGCGGCCAATGGTTACAGGTGGCTCTTGCCCCAGAGAATCTGCTTGGAGATTAGTAAGTCGTGAAATGCTCTGGTCCTTGCTAAGTTCAAATGGCCCAAAGCCGGGTCATGTGGAACTGTAACGTCAGCAAGAGGTTAACGGTGTTAATTGGTAACAGCCCCGTCTCGGACACAGTGATGTAGTATATACCGTTGTGTTCACATGCGACATCGCATTCTGTTTGGTTGAACCTAAAGAGTTTTTTCAAACCTACAGCTGCAGATTTCCACATGTATATCATAATACGTGACTGAAGTGGTCACTGGTACATTTTCTGTACTGTAGAGTGTGGACATCTTTACTTTGCAACTTAATGAATGACGGACAACCCACGCCATAGTAACGTGGGTGCAAAACCACTGGCTGCGTATGATGTACATACAGTATAGTCCGCGAGCGCTTTTAGCTGGTAATTCTATGCCTATGCCTCTCCTCATACAGGTTAAGGTGCTCGTTGTTATGAGGAACCCCAAGGACACAGCGGTGTCCTACTTCCATTTCGAGCAAAAGCGCCGGGCTTATTTTGAACGGAAACCGATTCCTTCATGGGACGAGTTCTTCCAGTTATTCCTGGCTGGCAAGCGTAAGTAGGAAGACATTTTTTTTCCAGACAATATATATGGCGGACGATTCAAAATGGCGGACAGTGAATAAATCACTTTAAGATCAGCCTCGAGGAAATGGCACATGATTTAGAGAAACTACATGAACATTGGGACAACAATGCATGTATTATCATGACCCATCGTTGAACTGTAACAACGATGCATTGTAAGACCTTAGCCAGTTTCCCTTGAACTTTTGAAAAGGCCGGAGAGTGGACTTTTGTAAGTTTTCAAGGTTACATAAAGTTTGAAAAAATATAAACAGCTAAATGTATGCATATAGTTGACTTGCAGAGTTTGTGGTTGAATTGTTGTACAATCATATAGTACATCTACACTATACGTTTTAAAGGTCATGAATGTTTCGAAAAATGTTTTAAGTAATTAGAAACGTACAATGTAGCTGGTCAAACTGCCTACTTCTCATACTTATGACATTGTTCTAATTCTCAGATACGTTCGGTTGCTACTTTGACCATGTCCTTGGCTGGTGGCAGAGGCGTGATGACCCCCACTTCTTGTTCTTAAAGTACGAAGACATGAAGAAGGTACGTAGATACTAGTAATTATACTAAGCGAAGAATGTAAGTCGATAATGTATTTCCACCTTGCCTCAAGATCTCTTCCCTACCCACGTGCTGTCAACCTACCCTATCCGGAACAGACAGATACACAGACCCACAGTCCAGCCACCCAAAACAATACTTCCGTACCTGTATGTAGATATGTAATGTTGAAAGTCCTTCTGTTTGTCCCAGGACTTACCGAACGCCGTCAGGTCAGTGGCGACCTTCCTAAAGGTCAAACTGGATGACGCTTCCATCGAGGCTATCGCGCATGCGTGCACCTTCTCAAACATGAAAGCGGCCCTGGATAAGTCACGTTACGACGACAGGACATTCAACGCTCGCAAAGGTAACGTCAAGGTCACCGAGTTGTGGAGAGCACACTTTGAATTGAATTTGACATCTTATATTACGTTTGGTAACAGGGCTAGGGGGAGTGGATGTTACTAGTAATTGGTGCACTATTGTCTATATACAAAATGTACTTTGACTGTATTGTTATATATTAGAGTCCTTTTTTCTTTCGCCCTAGCTTTTCTAAATGGCTTAGTTTTAATAATTGGTCTTACTCAATTTCGCCAATTGCTAAGAGTAACAAGTATGCATTAGGACTACTTGTGAGTCTTGAAATATGTACACAAACTTAAACTGTGTATTCAAATTATGAAAACAGTATTTAACTTAATTTAGTCAATTTAACATTTCATTCAAAGGTAATAAGTGGCTAACACAAGCATGCATGAACATCATAATATATGTTTAAATCAATATTTCAATATTTGTGTCGATTCTAGGTCTTGTCGGCGACTGGAAGACAATATTTACCGACGAACAAAGCAAGTCGCTCGACTTAAAATGCAAGACAAAACTGGAGGGAGCCGGACTAATTCTTGACTTTGAATAGGTCCATTCTCAGTTAAGAGTACTAGTAACGTTATATTATTTGACAGTCGCGTTACGGTGTATATTGACGCTAACCGAACACGGTTACACGTAGTTTTGAAGTGAGAAGAACTCGTGCTATGAGGCAAAAAAAGACACGGTGAGCGACAACAGTTAGCGACAAGTATTTTGATTTATTTCGATTTATTCTCGGAATTTCTGGTAATTTCTGATAATCCACGGTTGTCGTTCCTAAAGCCTCGGTCACAACTCGCCGTGCGTGCTTTTTGTCCGTACGTTTTTGTCGTGGCTACGTCTGCTACGTTTTTTCTGCAAACGTAGGGTGGCCGGCCGAGGAAGTACGTCACTCGCACGGTTGCGCAAGGTGTACGTACGTGGTCTGCACGACACGCCTGGCCGTCAGCGGTTGCGTGCATCGTACGTTGCGCAAGTGGTAAGTGAGTTGTACGTGCTTACAACGCACGATCTCTGTGCGATTGCCACGTTGCCGCGTACAGGCCGTACCTACACGTGCGGCGTACGCACGGTTTCCTTACTCACTCGCACGTTGTAAGTGCGTGCACCTCCTGTTAACTTCATCATCACTAGCCGCCCTGGTGTCTTCCGCGGCCCGTTTCTTTGGGTCTTGTCTGGTAGTCTTCTTCTGAGCCTTCCTGGGCATCTTGGAGACGAGTTGGCAGTCGCCGGTCAAGTCGTCTTTATATACTGTAGAAATCAGGTGCGTTGCACGTGCGTTGCACGTGCGGAGCACCTGGTATGGTGCACGTGTGTTCTGCGTGGTCATTGAGCAGGTCAACTGGGAAGTGAGGAGTAAGCACGGATGACGCAAGCACCGTGCGTGGCACGCACATGCTTCGTGCGCTGTCCGTACAGCAATTGCACGTGAAAATAGTGAAGTAAGACTCACGGAGTCCGTACGTTGCACGCTCATAGGCTGTACGGGGCACGCGCGTCGCACGTACTCGCACGCACGGGTGGTAAATCCGCAGACCGCACGTAGAAAAAGTATTACATGCACTTAAAGTTCTACGGCGTGTCTGCGTGCTCCCAAATCCGTAGGATTCCGTACGGAGGTGGTACTCACCACGCACGGATGCCGTGCGATTGCCCACGTTTTTGCACGTAGACAGCACGCAGAAGCACGTACGGCGAGTTGTGACCGTCGCTTAACGGACCGCCTTGTTCCCAAGTGATCATTCATTTACCTGAAAGAGGACAGCAAATAGGATTTAAAGATGAGGAATTCAAGTGTGCTTCTTGAAGAATTCGTCCGAATCGCCACATACATGACAGTATTGCGTTTGCTTAAACCCAGCGTAGTCAACATTAATTCTGCTTTTAAACTGCTTTAGGAATTTGGCAATGTACAATCTGTAATTCTGTCACCGCGAATGACTAATTGTCCTTGGCTTTGTGATATTCACTTGAATATAAAGAGAACAATATCTTGCACGTGCCAATATAATCTGTCATCTAGAGGTTAGGTTACAGATCAAAGACCCCGTACCTCTGGCTGAGGCTGAGGTGATCCTATATGCTGCAGAGGGGGCAGCACACCCCCGCGATGTGTACCGGGTTGGGACAGCCCGGGGGAGGGCACGAGATGAGCGAACAGGCAACCGCTCCTCCGGCAGAAATACCCGTACGGATAAAATGAATATTAATTAAGGGTTAATGTCCCGCCCCGAGGTGAATATGGTCATGCTTTATTCGGTGGTTATAGCCACTGACAAGGCTTTATCACACCATATTCACCGAGAAAGGGCGGGCCATTAACGCTATTATCATATAGCTTACACGATAGCCTATCCAAACTGATGCAGTGAAGAGTCACACAATGTACCCCTTGCACATGCTGAATAGAACATAGAATATTTGTTCCGTCTGAAGTCACCTGAGGTCACTGGAGGGTTCATGTTCTATGTCTTCTATCTGGGTCACAGGCAGGGAACAGGTGTTCTTATGGGAGTCATTGGTAACACAACTCAAGTTATTTTTGGATTTTTTAGAAGTAGAGCCGTGTTCTATTGGGTCACCTGAGGTCATATGCGGGTGATTATTCATTTTGTTTAATGTATGGATTGGGATGAATGAATACCCGATTTTGACTCTATTTGTGACATTACGGCGACATAAAGAATGTGGAATGGAGCCTTCTGATTGGTCAACGTCACCCGGCTATATGATAATGTTATATATCAACCGTGTGTTCTGAGAGATCAAAGATAATAGTAGTGCAGCCTAATATTTCTTATGAGTCTTATGAGATTCCCTATTTAGAATATATAACGTTATATATCAGTAAAAATGTTTGATTTGGTTAATGCAAGGAGGTTAAAAGAGAAAACCTCCTTGGTAATGTAAAGTTTTAGAAGAGGGCCTCCCCCTTTTCTATTTTGGGCTATGCCGATAAGGCCGTGCGGATTGATTTATCTCAAAGATGACCGTGACGGAGGTCATGCAAATAGTTCCTAAGACGCTTGCCCACCGAAAGCTGCAAAAAGATACAACGACTGAGTAGTACACTACTAAGATAATTTACTTCATACACATGCTGTCCTGTTGTATTGAATTTAATCTCCAAAATATGTGATATGATAAGACCATAATACTAGCCAAGTCTAGCGGATGTGCCTGCATTCTGAACCCGGCTGTGATCAGGCAGGTTTCGCGCCAAACTTCGAGGTCATTTCACGAAGCTGGATTGAAAGAAGCGAGAAGATCTTCCAAAACCGCTCCTCGGGGTAAGTTAAACCGTCTGCTAATCTTCCAGAACTTGACGTTAGGTGATCTTTATGTAGACTCGGAGTCTCCTGTTTATAGCTTTGACGTGTTGATCATGTGGTGCAAGATTTTTACGGAGTTTTGGGTTAACGTTATCAAAAATCTTGATGTTAATAATAATTTTAATCATCACTCTTCTGCGGAGTTAGCCAAAAGCTATCTGTACTGTTGACATTTGATGTTTCGTTAGCTTAAAGTGTTGCAGTCAGAACCTCTTTTGAAATGGTTCAAAAGGAAGGGGGAGGGCAAGGAAGAAAATTTTCCTTGGTCGCCGAAACCCCAAGGGAGCAAGGCACATGCTCTACTACTAATTAGAAACACCCCTTGCATGCCTAGGCTTGTTTTCTGTTTTCTTCCAAGCAAGGACATTAATGTTCTTGTTCCAAGTTTGTTTATAACAAAGTTACATGGAGTTAAAAAAGTATTTTCAAATACAGTATTTTTATTTTTACAGTATTTTCGGACACGAAGCCAAGCCAAGAGAGACAATTTTTAAATACTGTAATATTTTTAAAAGATACACTATTTTGAAACATACAACTTCTTTCTAGGACAAGTTAGAAGAAAGAGAACTGGCGGTCCTTTTAACTCCATGTTAATTAGAAACATCCCTTGCATGCCTAGGCTTGTTTTCTTCCAAGCAAGGACATTGATGTCCTTGTTCCTTGTTTATAATAATATTAATTGTTTATTGCAAATTCTTGCAAAAACTAGAAGAACGTGGCTATATACACACCGGGTGTGTATATAAAATCTATTTGTCTTTTATATACACACCCGGTGTGTATATAAAATCTATTTTCTTTTATATACACACCGGGTGTGTATATAAAATCTATTTGTCTTTCATATACACACCCAGTGTGTATATAAAATCTATTTGTCTTTTATATACACACCCGGTGTGTATATAAAAACTATTTGTCTTTTATATACATAACCGGAAAGTTGATAGGGCAGACATTCGAATGATCTGTCGCCGGTGGGTTATCCAGAGTCACCAAAGGGACCGGGGCGAACCCCGGGTTGGTCTTCAGGTCTGATAAATGCACGCCAGACGGCGAGGTCGGCGCTTCTTCCGCATGTATTAGCTCTAGAATTACCACAGTTATCCATGTAGGATGTGACGATCAAAGGAACCATAACTGATTTAATGAGCCATTCGCAGTTTCACTGAGACAGTTTAACTTGCACGTGCATGGCTTAATCTTTGAGACAAGCATATGACTACTGGCAGGATCAACCAGGTAGCAAGGACGCCAGGGGCGGGCGACCGGTCTCGCCGCCGCCGC